AAATTTATACAAATTTCATTCCAATCATGTCACGAATCATGATATTCAGGACATGATTTAGACACAATATACGCGTATAACATTAAACATCTTGAATTACAAGATTTGCAGGAAAGTTGGTTTTCGCTAGCGGCAAAAGACAGAGCACGGAAATCAACTAAAACCATGAGAAAAAGAATACTGACAATTTCGATAAATAAAAGTTTATCAACTATATTTTATAAAATAGAGCTTTCACAAAATAATAAAATATTAAAATAATAATTACATCATATTGAAAAAGTAATTGAAAAAATATAGAAAAAGTCTAGGAGATATTATACAATTGAAAAATTATGTACAATCACAAGCCCACATGAAAGTAGTAGCAGAGTTACATTGTGGATAACAGCCAGTACAAGTTTTAGTACAACCTGGATTTGAGGCAGCAGCGGCGGAGCAATCCCATCCAGTAATATCTTGGAGTGTGCAAGTACCAGTGGTGGAAATGGAAGTAATTGTACAAGGAAAGCAAGAGACAGGAGCACGCTTGTCCAAAGGATTAGCAGGTGAAACTGCTACTGGAGACGCTGAAACAACGAAAAGAAAAATTGAGAGGACCAAGAAGAGCTTGAGACCCATTGGATTCTAAAGAGAAAAAAGAAAGTTTAATATAACAACGTATGGTATGAATAAATTAGATGAAAAATGATGAGGAAATGTGCTGACCATAAAAAATCTTGACATAGTGAATTATTATATTATTAGATCGTTAGATTGTTATTAGGTTGTTATTTTATTAATTTGAAATCAAACGATTGAAAAAACAAATTCTGAAAGGGCAGAAAACAACTTTATATATAGTGAAAACAGTGTGCAAAAATTCGATTCCCAGAAGGTCCGCTATTCTGCTGATAGTTTCTAAATTTGTATTAATTTGCGATTGAGATTCCAAATGGTTAATCTATGTTTTATAACGCATGATGCACAGCGAGTAAATTTCGTTGTGTAACTAGAAACAATTTCCAGAAATCAAAAATTTGATTGGCTAATAAATGTTATACGCGCCCTTTGCGCCCAATTTTACACACTGATGCAAGCCAAAACAATCAATTCGGGTTTTATGATATCAAAAAAGGTTAGATGAGATCTTAATCCGCATTTTACTTTTTTTTTCTTTCTTTTCGAGCGTGGAATTTGTAATTTATGCAATGCGACATGATGAATTAAGTTATTATTATGATAGTTACTTTTGGCAAATGGTTGTACTAGTTACACTAAACTTCTGATTCTCTAATTATCTTACAAATGTGGAATAAAGAATTCTAAAAAGATGAATTCAATTGGAATTTAAAAAAGGAATGTTTTAAAAGGTCTCAATGATATAACGGGTAAAGTTTATAAAGGAAATATTGTGTGTGTTCAATCTTAATACAATCATAAATAAAATAAATTCGAAATAGTTGAAAAGACAGTAGAAATTGAAAAAGGGTGTGCTACTTGGAAAAAGAAAAATACATTACAAAATAATTTCAGGGTTCAAAATTGCTTAACAACTACAACAATAGGTAGTTCTTCAAGGACCATTCAAATAAAATATTGCAATTAATAAATATCTGTGAATTATTTGCGCGATCTTTGTAGCTGTGATTTGCAATTTTTTGATAGAAGAATATCCCATTTACATACTGTGAGATCGTGTCCAAGTTACATACGAAAAATTTTTTAATAATATATTTATGTTTTTCTTTCTAAACTATCTATAATCTGTATAGCACTCCTTAAGTGAACAATACCTATTAAACCAAGAAACCCCTTAGTGACGTCGAAACTCTGTCGAAACTTTAATTAACAATTAGTATCTACCTTGTCTAAACTCTGACGATTGACAAAACCCCAAATGCGAAACAATAAACAATTAATGTGTAACCTGTCGAAACTCTGTCGTTGGATGAGTTTCGCCCACAACCTTATCTTAAACAAAAAAAAAAAAAATAAAAGGAAATATTTACATAGAATTAATATGAAGCAAGTCCTTTATTGCAACATTGTCTTATATTTACTTGATGATATATATATTTTATATACGTATACATATACATGAAGAAAAAAAATCAAAGTGAAGGATATTTATATATTTTTAAAGGTTAGTTCTCTTATTTCAGCGAAACACTCTAACTAGAAGAATGATTTGAGATCCAAGGCCCTTGACTAGATTTGCGTTTTTTATGTGATATTAGTCTATAAACATATAAACTATAACTGGTGGCAGTATTAGACCCTGTTTGCATAATAATAAAAAATTAATTACAATATACAAGTATTGTTTTCTTTACATATTAAAAAACATATGTGTAACCAATTTGAAGGAGTCATTACTCCATAAGATAAGAATAGAAAAAGACACATTTAATGTTTTCTCTAATGTGAATGAATAACATTAAATTCTTTCTTCTATATAGAATGTTTGAATTCAATCAGTCAATTGGAAGTTTTAGAGTGGCCGGATAAAGTTTATTAAGTAATTGGTTAATGTAACATATTATTATGTATTACTATAAATAAATACACACGATTTAGAAAATTTACTATTATTATAAAATCGAAAGGATGCCAATAATAATAGTAACAACAATAATAATAATGCAAATCAAAACAACCGAGGGTATACAAAATTTTACTTGATAGATAAAGAAGATAGATAGTATATTAGATACTAAATATAGTTGTTAACTGAAGTCGTTTTTGGAAAAAGAGAATGATTTGGCCTTTCCAATATTCTTTATATGAATAACCAACCATGACATTCTATCAAAGAGTTCAAATAATTTTGGATATAATTTCGGTTATTATAGAAAACCTTTTAGTTTCAATGGTCAAGGGGACAATTTAAATTTTTGGGGTGGATGTGAAATTCTGATTGGCTAATTTTGAATTTCGCATGAACTGCAAATTACTAAAATGATATTTTTCAATGGTATTTTGTGGACCCTTGCTTGACTCAAGAAACAAAAAATCAATTTAAACATTAATGAAGACAAGTGGATGGTACATTGATATGAAGATTTGTAAAAGAAGGAGGGATCTAACTGATAGTAAATCATTTTATTTTTTGATATCTTTTCATCAATATGTACATAACGTTAGCACCTCTAATAATTAAATCTTTATTTATCAAATAATAGATTTGTACACAATCATAAAATAAATTTTTAAGTTTAAAAAATTTTTTTTAATATGGGATGGGAAATTATAATATTAATATGTTGTGCTTTCAATAGTGTACACACAATAAGAATTGCCCATTTATGTATAAACAAATAGAAACTTGTTATTTATAGAATATATAAAACACGTAAATAGATAGAACCGTTTCTTTTTATTACACAATATAAAGATACTGACCGGCGAAATTGTGAAACTAATAATGACTAAAATTCTATATTATTATGGACTTCGCAAATACAAGATTCAGTAATCAATTATTGGATACAATGATTTTTTATTATGCTTCCCAAAAAAATTATATTTTTAATAAAATATTATCAAGTGTTTCCATACAACAGTTTGTTTTGCAAATTCACACAAGATTTCATTTTTCATAGTTGAAATTTGTAATTTTTTTTTTGTTTCGCAGAAATGAATTGGTCTAGTATATTAATATTAATACTTGTGCCGTCGAACAGTTTTCATAATTAATTTGTGCAGTGCGTGTCATTATATAACCTATCAATAACTTTAAAACCAAATAGGGATAGTTATTGACTAGTTCTACAATCCATCGTTGAGATCCAGAATTATTAGTTTTTTAGAAATTTAAAATAACTTGAATTTGGAAAATTTTATACATAACGTATAAAATTATCTCGACAATGAATTGTAGAACTAGTCAAATATCGTCTTTATTTTTTAGATAGGCTTAGTATTGGCTTTAAAGTTGTTCGACCCGCACGATATTTTATTTATACTAATATTTCTTTTCTTATCACTACCAACCGTTACTAATATTTCTTCTTTTACATTTCATAAAAAAATCTTTTAAAGCGCGTTCAAATTGTATTTAGTATCTGAGTTTGAAAACACACAATATTGATACGTAGAACAACTTTTACAGCGCACTAAACAGGTTTTTGTAAATTTTAAGTGCCGAAAATAGAAAACCAAAGAATGCTAAAATTCTTTTTTTGTCCAATCAATCACTATTAAGGTCTGGCAATGATGAAGTTGTTCTTTAAATAATGCGATTTCCATTTTTAAATTTATATTTGATTTTTTATCAATTGGTTTTGTTAGAGAAAAATTTCTTTCTTTTTTTTTTCAATCGCATAAATAATCAAAAAAACTTATTTGTTGTATATAACCACCACATTAAAAAAATCAATCACTAACTAAACATTTTCAGTAAAATTTTTGTTGAATGAAAATTTTGACATATGACATTATTAACCAACGTAATTATACAAGAATAATAAGAAACAGGGCCGCGTTTATCCAAAGGATTAGAGAGAGAAACTAGCAGAGACGCCATGACAATAAAAAGAAAATCAAGAGAACCTGAAAATCCCAAGAGCCATCGGAATCTAAAGAGAAAAGAAATCTCAACAACGTATGAATAGATGAAAAATGATGAGGAAATGTACTGACAGAACCCTGCAAACTTCATAGATAGGTCAGTAACAAAAACTCCTGTTTGTTATATGATTGGATCTACAACAATATTAAGTTTAATATGTAACTTGACCTAAGGTTTGCAATAATATTAGAAACAAGAGCATAATTTGACCCATAACATTAAAAGACCAATCAATTGATTTAACTGGTCAACTGATTATAATAATTCACTAATTTTTATAATTTATAATATTTTAACAAATTTTTTAATATAAAATATAATCGTTGACTACTACTATATTCTAATAGATTGGACCTAACCAACCTTTTTGATGTATATAATAATTTGACCCCTATTAATGTTTAAAATTGACCCTATTATAATTATTGACAAAAAACTTGATTTATTCCAGATGCGGCAGTAACTTCTGTGGGTTGTTGTATGTAAAATTTCACATAATTTCATTCTCACGTACAACAAGGTCATAGAAAATCTCAACATAAAAAAAAAAATAATAAAAATAGACCATTAAAATGAAGGACTAGAAAAGGGTTTCAATTCTAAAAAAGGTTAACCTGCGTTGACGCCATATGCAATTATGCCATAATGCATGCATCTATTATAAAATCCAAAAAGATAATAATGAATGAACTTTTTGTTTTTGCCTTTTCAGGTGTTAATTTAACGTAAGAAAACAAATCAAATATTCAATTAGTGTTAATAGAATTTCTTCTGTAATTAGGGATGGGGCGGTTCCAGGGCGCAAAATGCCAGTTGAAATTTACCGGAAAATTTCCGGAAGCAATAATAATGATAATAATAATAATAATAAATTTTACCGGTCATGAAAAAAAACGGAAATGGTGTAAAAATATATTTTTTTTATAAAATGTAAAAATGAGTTTATTTGAGTATGGATTTAGAAGTAGCTCAAGGTATGTTCTATAAATATCAATTCTTCCAATGCCTTCTTTCTTTGTTAAAGTAGAAAATTAATTATTTTGATATTTCAATTTATTAAGTCCAGAAGAAAATTCCAATAATAGTACTTTTGATGCTGAACTTGCTGAATTGAATATGAAAATCAAAATGAAAATCAATTAAATCAATTGAATAAAAAATAAAAATCAATAGTTTCAAACAAAAATGGTTATCTGAATATAGATGGCTTCATTATGACCATATCCATAATAAACAAGTGATTTGTACAATTTACATTCAACATAAAAGAAAAAATCAATTTGCCCAAGAAGGTTTGTAATAGAATTATTTCTAATATTTAATATATAATATTATTAAAATTTTCACGTACAACAGGTTCAAAAAATATAAATAGAAAATCAGCAATAAAATGTCACAAGGATTCAAGAAAAATTAGAACTTTCCAAACTTGCAACAGAAAGATTAGTAGAAAAATTATTTATTAATGAAAGTGATATATATATTATAAGCATAATGAATATTGTTTATTATATTGCACAAAATCATATTCCTATGAAAAAATTACCATCTTTAGTTCAACTTGCAAAGAATTGCATACACCAGATATTTCTGATAAATCATTCTCATATAGTGATGAAATTGCTGGTAATGACATGTTAGCTGCTTTATCAGAAGTTATCTCAGAAAAAATATGGGATGAATTGTCAGAAGTAGGAGTTATAATAGATGAATCCACTGATATAACTACTACAAAGCTTAATCAAGTCAAAATTACATGATTCTCTTAGCACAAAAACATATCCTTAGATGTGTATATATATTTTTTTTTCCTTTTAAGGAAAGATATTTGTGAAATTTTTTTGACAATTTTTTATTAAATAAATATATAATAAATAAAAGAAACAAAATTATAAAGAATTAAAGAAGAGAAAAATAATGATAAGTATATATACAAAAATTAAAATAAAAAAATTTATGCATTCTATTCTCCTATTTTATTTACTATCCAATTTTTCATACACAAACAGGCTCTTGCAGTTTCTAGCAACAAGCGATTCCGTGTCCTGCTAATTGTATTTCCAGCAACAGGGAAAGCCTGCTCTGGTGGAACACTTGTTGCTTGAATGGCAAGATAATCTCTCGCCATATTACTTACATTTGGGTACTCTTTGGCATGTGCCTGCCACCATAAGAGAGGATCTGTATCTTCATCTCTCTGCAATCAAAGATAACGATCTAACTCTAATACTGAAGATGTTTAGGGAGTTACAGATGAAGTTTGTAGAGTGGTGCTTTGAAAAAGTTGTATGAAATATTGGCAACTTGTATTCATAGATGTTGATGTTCTTCCAGAGATGTGCCATTCATAGTATCTCTGATTTTTTTTCGCGCACTGTGCGCATAGTGTATTAGTATTATAGTAATAGTAATAGTAAACAGAGAATTTTAAAATGTTCTTCGCATCGTTTTACTGTACTATTACACTCGAAACCACATGCATTACATTTTGCTCATTGTTGAACAAAATCATCTACATGTCCTATTCGAGTGAAAAAACTCCAAATTTTGCTACTTTTTGTCATTATTGTAAAAAATTACTTTTTAAAATGAATTAAAACAATCTTTTCGAACAGGTACTTTTAATGAATGCCTATCTTTAATTCTCTTAAAAATAACGTAAATATAATGTAGATAATCTCATCTACCCAGAGATTTCTAAACATAATTGGTAAGAAAATAATTAATGTAACGTAACTAATTATCATGAGTTACAATTAAATAATTAAGTCTAACTAAACATTATAGTAAATTGTTACAATAAAATTTACAAACAAAATAACAAATAGAAATATATACACTAACCGCGCGTCCTAACCTTTTGCAAATGTATTACGTTATGTAGTACAACATGATAACTATGCGCACTGTGCGCTCAAAAATTCTCACGCACAGTAGCGCTGCACATCCTTTATTATTATGTTCTTCTCATAGGAGATAGATGATATTAATATATTAGAGAAAATTCTCCTGGTAAGTTCCAAAAATTGTTTTAATATGTGCACGAGCATTTTGACTTGCATCTTCTGAAAAGGCAGAAAGTTTAATAAATTCGATTACAACTCAATTATTTTATCTTCGCGACACATTGCTAAATTCAATTACTTTATTTTTGCGGCACATTCATTGCTAAATTTGATTACTTGATCTTCGCGACACATTGCAAAATTCAATTATTTTACTTTCGCGACACATTCATTGCTAAATTCGATTATTTTATTTTCGCGACACATTCATTACTAAATTCGATTATTTTATTTTCGCAACATATTCATTACTTTATCTTCACAGCACATTGCTAAATTCAATTACTTTATCTTCACGGCATATTGCTAAACTCGGTTGCTTTATCTTTGCGACGACAAATTACTAAATTTATTGTATTTATGTGATACAATTTCATTTAAAAGTAGTGAACTCGCCATTAAAATGACAAATGATTTTTATTCCAATAATTCTTTGCAAATTGATGATAATTTGTTATTAAAACATCTCAAGTTTCCAAAACAATAAATAATAGTGATATCTTATTATTGTTTTTGGAAATTCTGTTTAAAAAAAAAAAATACATCATTTTTAATGTATATATTAATATGAAATATACGTCTACCTTTTACCAAGTTTAATTGTCACGCTCGAAAAAATGTGATTCGAATACTCACGAATAAAACAAATAATTTGAATGAACCTTATTCGAATAGAAACCACAAGGATTAATTGATTTTTTTTTTAAATTTTAAAATGATTTAATATAAAAGGAATTTGCAGCTTTATGAAAAACAATTGCGTTGTATATAATAGTCTCTATTAATCATGCCAGAGAATTCAAGAGCTTTATTCTTTAGGCCAAATAATAAAGGTTTGCCTTTCCAAATTTGTCAGTGATCTTTTTGATTGTTGAGAAAAAAAAAACATCTTTGACCGTGTAATGAGTAGTAGCATGTCTATATTTAAAATATTCATGTTATTGTGCTTTTAAAGAACAATATCAACTGTTATTCAAATGCTAAATTGGAAATAGTGGTAAATGATTCACTGCTAATTTTTGATTTCAATGAGATTAATGAAATTAGCACCAATGTTGTACAAACTAATAAAAAGATTGATTGGATAATTTTTACGCCCATCTTCATCTTCTATTTTCTTCCATTTCAAATTCTGGATTTATATTTGCATAAATTATTTGATGATTTTGTAGTAATTAAGTGCCATTTGATTTTTTCAATTTCTAAAGAATGAGCGTTTGTAAGGTGATTACATTTTGATATATGAATTGATGCCATATGCGAGAAACTTTCTGCATCAGCTGGCAAATTGCAAGCATTGAAGAATTTGGTGTTGCTTTTTTTACTGATTTCGAATCATTGTTTCTGTCCAAAGAATATCTTTATTCTGATATTTTAAAAATTCATCAAGAAATTATTTTCTGAAAAAATTGTCGTTACTTCTTGAATGATATTTGCTGTATAATTTCTTTGATTAAAGAGTTAATAACCTTAATAATTAGGTTAATAGCCTATTATTTGATTTGATGATAAATTAATGATTTAATTATTAGTTGATAACTAATTTTAACTTTCGTTACAATACACAATGATGTCTCAAACAAATCTTGTGAAAAGAACTTCGGCTGGAGGACCTTGACAGGTGTGGAATAAGTGATAGAATTCCAAAAAGATGGATACAACAGTAGTAAATTGGAATTCAAAAAAGATAATGTTTTAAAAGGCCTCAAAATGATATAATGGATAAAGTTTATAAGAGAGACAATGGCCTCAAAAAATATTTAATCTCTCGTCTGAATGACGAATACCCTAATACATATCATAAAATAAAATTTGAAATGGTTAAAAGACAGGTAGAAATCAAAAAGACGTATGCTATTCGATAGTAATAGCATGTTTGATAAAAGAGAAAAGGAATTTTTAGAATATTAGTATCATAGGAAAAAAACATAACCTGCAAAATATCCTATACGTAATTTCAGGGTTAAATTGCTTAATATTAACAACTACAGTAGTGGTAGGTGATTCCTTCTCAGAGATGTTAATGGTCCCGATCCAGACTGAATGAACCATGGTCTGGAAGGTACCCATTAGTGTTAGTCGCCAAAACTATTTTGAAGAGACGAAAGTCAAGACTAAGATTAAAAGTTATATCTCAAAACTAAATCAAAACTAGTTTCGCTTATTTATTTTACTATGTAATTTATTTGAAATAACCAATAAAAAAAAAAAAATAACGAACAAAAATTCTCGGGTCAACTGTAAATAATTACGATAAGCATTACATCTTACCAAAAAAAAATTTTTTTAAACAAACTGTAAATGGTTTATTCAAAAATTTCTATAAACAGAATCATTTTTAAATCAAATTCTTATACTGGAACTCTTTTAATTACTGAGTTTGTTTTGTTTTAATTTACTCCAATTTATTATTTTTTTAAAAAAAAAATGATTCAATGAATAAGTTTTTATTAATAAAATTTAAATTATTGATAATAATTTTAATAATTTGCAATTTACTTTTATTAGATAATTTCAAGTTTTTGGTTTCTGGTCAATTATTAGATATATCACATCAAAGTTCAACAGTGTTAAATGATAAACTTTATTATTTTGGAGGATACTCTGCCAATTCAGGACTTACAAACCAAATAATTTATCTAGATTTATCTACATCATTTTCACTCAATCAAAAATTACCAATAAAAATAATTGTTCCGAGATCAGTAATACCTCCATTTCAAGATGCATCATTAGCATTAGGAGGTGCTAATAATAATACACTTTATGTTATAGCTGGATATAGAGATTCACCACCTAATACTATAGAATATGGATCTATAGTTTATTCAATAAACGCAAGTTCATTTGATGCATGGACTCCAGAAAACCTTGATGGACAACCACAGTTAAAGAGTGGATCATCAAGGTATATGCAAGATAATTATGGAAACACATATATAATTACCCACAATGATCCATATATATATAAATTCAACACCAAAGATTTGATATTTACAGCCATAACACCAAGTAATAATAGTCCATCTATAACATGCATAGATTATTATGAAAGTCATATGTTGGATGATGAAAATATA